TATATATATATATATATATATATATATATATATATATACTAGGTTCGGACCCGTGTATTACACGGGTTAATAACAAAAATTAAATTGTGGACCAATGTAATCATGATAAATATTGAACAGGTAAGACATGTGCGGAATGCACACATGTTTGAGTTTATTTTGATTTAGGGACGAAGCCCCTAACAAAGTGGTTCGGGGGCAGCGCCCCCGGTGGCGGGGTCAAAGGGGCGGTAGCCCCTGGCTGGGGTCGAGCTGCCAAGTCAGATTGATTTTTTTTCCCGGGTAATATTGCTTTGTGAAAAATGCTTCAAAAATTCGAATTTGAAATTTTAAACTCGGTTTTGATGACCACTCCAGAGTTAAATTAAGACGTGAATTTTACAGAGTTATGTTGTAAGTCTGGGGGTCGTAAGTGAAAATTGTGTCTAGATACATGTTTAGGCGGGAAAAATCATTAACCGTCGCACAGAAACATGACACGTGTCTCCAAAGTTACTTATTTATTAGTATATAGATGTTATAAATTAATTAACTTTATATTATTATTAATAAGGTATTAATATTCTTTTAATAACTATATAAATTAATTAAATTCACATTATTATTAATTAATTAAATACTAAGAGTACATGTTCTTCTATATTTTTTTCCCGGGTAATATTGCTTTGTGAAAAATACTTCAAAAATCCGAATTTGAAATTTTAAACCCGGTTTTGATGACCACTCCAGAGTTAAATTAAGAGGTGAATTTTTCCAGAGTTATGTTGTAAGTTTGGGGGCCGTAAGTGAAAATTGTGTCTAGATACATGTTTAGGCGAAAAAAATCAATAACCGTCGCACAGAAACATGACACATGTCCCCAAAGTTACTTATTTATTAGTATATAGATATATGTATTTATATTAGACAATTACACTATCATGTACCTTTTCATATACATATATTTCCAATCTCTTATCCATCTCTATATAACTTTTTCGTATATATGTTTAGTAAATACGAACATATATATGAAAACTAAGAAAAATAGTTGAATCTGATATGCTTAAGATTTAATAAGTATGAATAGGCTATACAAAATGATTGATAATGAAAAATGAATTATTATTATTAAGGAAAACATTATATTCAATATTGGAAGAATATTTTAATATACAAATATATCAACCTAACTAACCCGACCAACCCATATAATTTAAATTAGATTAAATTGTTCAAATGATTTCAACCCAATAATACAATCCATAAATAGACTTAGAGGCAGTTTACCAAACACTTACCTGGTAAGCTATTACCGGCGAAATTTAACACTATCACTTACTTACCAGGTAAGACTTTAGTCCACCAAAACGGCATTGTATGCAACAATTTACCCAGTAAGCGTTTACCATGGTAAGAGTCGTCGTTCTCACTTACCGGGTAAGACTCTCGGTTCTTATCTTCCTTTTACCGAGTAAGATTTTTGGTTTTTACCATATTCATCCGGTAAGATAATATGACTTAATAAGCACTTATCCGGATAAACGTTTAATAAATGGCCCCTAAACTCAAATAAATGGTGGTGGTTGGTGTTGTGTAGTGTGATTTGGAATTTAAAAGAAACAAATTCATCAAATATGCACGTAATTGAAAAAGTAAAGATATATGAAGGTTTGTTACACAAATATAAATAACTATGTCACATTAAATAAGGACTAGAAGGATATCCGTGTAATGTGGTGAGATAAATCTTCATTTAATGTTTAATTTTTATTTTGTCTCTATCGAGATAATACGATTTTAAGAGTTTTTTTGTCAAATGAAATATATTTGAAAAAAAATAAATCGATATTAGTGTCAAATTAACTATTTAATAGTTCTTGTTTTTTTGGTGTAACTTATTTAATTAAATTTTTATTATAATTTAAATTAGATTTAATAACAAAGTAATTTGTTTTTGGTTTAATAATATAATTTTTATAAATATAATAATTAAACATTTTGTTAAAACTCAATGATTATCTTAATTATATTTTAAATTTTCTATATTTAAAATAGACGTTTATCCTGTATTTGATTATGTTTATCTGCATTTAGTCAGACGAATTTAAAAATGAAGCTTTAATAAGTTATACTTACGCAAAATTAATCTTGAATTTTAAGTAATATGCATCAATAAACAGTACTTCATGCATAAAAAATAGTTCTTAAAAGTTTTTATCAAATACATTATAATATAGTATAGATAAATTTAATTTTTGTTATATTTTAATGTATTTCATTTATATTTTAATTATATAGTTTTGTAATCGTAGTTAATATATCATTTATAAATACAAATAAACCAAAAAATTATTATCTGATCCACCTAACCCTACTCCTTTTGACCCAACCTCGTTTGACTTTGACCAGTCCGCATGCTAACAATATGTCACACGTCATAAGAATAAACGGTATTTTTTAAGTTAAAAAAATACGACAGCAAAATAACTCACCTTATTTCTATATCTTTTATTCTACGGATCATGACGTTTGTCATTTTGTATTTTTGTAAAAAACAAATATTTATTTAAAATAGAAAAATCAAGTACAATAATTCAAGAAAATGATCATGCTGTGTTATTTTTTATATCAAAATATCTGGAACTTACGAACTCGTTATGTAACCAACAGGTAAATAAGGGTTGACGTCACCTTTGAAACACACCCACCACACTTGACGCCTGTTAGAGCCAATAATGAAATCGTTAATGAAATGCAAATTATCAAGTGTATGTTGTAACTTCAAAAATCAAAGGAGGAATAAAAATCTCCTTGTAACTATGAAGGTTCAAATACGATGACTCCGGGCTATATGCAAAGCAAGTGGTCGTTCTGGATTAGTCGGCTCGCATAATGGGTTAGATATCCAGGTTAATAAAAAAAATCAAGTATTATTGTGGCAAACTAACAAAATGCAAGGAGTAAAGTGTAACTTAGATAATATAAAATGACACAAGTATCAAAATATAGAAATTTTAGGATCATTCTTGCAAATTGATCGATACTTGAGGTACCGTTTATGTAATTTACCATCACACATACAAAAAAATAGATGCATTGGAGTTCGTTATTACTTTGCAGTCCGTCGTAGCTTCGCGGGAAGAAATGGGAACGAGAGAGAAGGATAGCGATCTACAACGTTTGATTCCTCTCAAACAATTAGGTTCACCGGAAATTAATGGTGGCTCGAGGTCGTCGTCGCCGGCGGACTCCCCTCCGGGAGCTTCCTCCTCCTCCTCCGCACGGCATTCCGGCAAAGAGGTTGCCGATTTTCAATCAATTCTTTGTGTGTGCGTGTCTTTCCATGTTCTAATTTCCAAATGTCCTACCTGATTGCTGTATATATCTTCGATTTTTTGCATATAAATGCAAAACATATGGTGTTTTCAAGCATAGTCGGATGGGCGATGGATGATTAGGTTTTGTGTTTTTGAATGTTGTTTAATTATATAATTTATTTTACCATAATTGCTATCGAATCAATGATTCTTGTAATTCTTATTCTGAATTAGATGTCTTTGTATAGATCTAAATGTAAATTATGATTGTAATTTTGTTGAGTTCAGAAAGCATTTGTGAAGCTTAGTTTTCGTGCAAGGGGAACAAGTGATTAACCTTTGTATCCTCTTAGAAATGATAGCTCCTATAGGCTATTCACTTGTTCCACTTGTACGAAAATTAAGTTTCGCTACTTAATTTAGGATCTATAGAAAGACAATCTAATTCAGAATATAACGAAACAAATTACAAGAATCATTGAATCAATAACAATTACAATAAACTAGAATATATAATTAAACTACATTAAAAACACAAAACATAGCATCCACCGCCTTTCAGATCATGCATGAAATTGTTTTGCATATTTAAGGTAGATTGGTTTCATGTGAGACCAACTTGTTTTCGTGAGACATGTGACACCACAAAGTAACACTGAAGCTTTTATTTATTCACAACAAAAACACCAAATAGTCACAACGAAAACACTGTATTGTTGTGAAGGTTTAGTGTTATTTATGTGGTCTCACGGGTGTCACGGCAACAACGTAGTCTCACATGATCCCAAGTCATATAAGCTTATAGTATCCCATGAAAAAAGTTAAAGTGACCTTTAGCATTTCGATGGTTCTTTAGTCTAAAATGTATATATAGTAATTAACAATGCAGTTTCTTCAAAAACTAATGAGGGATGATACATGTTGTTGTGCAACTTTCGGTTATGTAGATTATGTTGTCAAAAAGCATTGGATGATGATGTTGATTAAGGTTTTATAGGGAGCAAAAGTTAAGAGATTTCTTCTTCTTGGTTTTGCAGGCATTAGTTAAAGTTGTTCATAGCTGGGCTTCAAAAAAGTTCATGAGTGGATGGTTTGTTTCCTCTCCTCAACAACAACTACATTTCATCTTCTATCTTCACCAAATATTGTCTTATGTTTCAGTGATCATTGAAGATTGTCATAGTAGTTGAAAGATATGGTTATATTTGTGGTCCTTTCTCACCCTTAGGCTATGCTTGGCAAACTAGCTTTTTTTGAACTATATAAATATTTATACACAGAGAACTAAAATCACGCTCCCTCCTCACCTATGGTGAGGCTTGAACCCTTGACCTCCTAGGAGTCTGGGCTCTACTGGTAACCCGGGTACCGCTGGAAACCATTTGGTAGCTTATAAGCTAGTTGTTGACTGATAAGCTAGTTGTTGGTTGATCAATTAGTAATGTTTGGTAAAAACTAGCTAATAAGTTAGATGGAAAGTGACCTAAAAAAACATGTTGAAAAATTAATTGGAAAAATATACGAAGCATAATTGGAAATATATATACACACACACACACACACACAGAGCTTATAGAAATGCTACTTGAAGTAGCTTTTTAAAAAACTAGTTTAAGAATGACCAAACAGGGCTTTTTCAACAAGTCAACAACTAAGCTAGATTATGGTTGCCAAACGTGTCTTTAATGTGCAAGATGCAAACCTTTTGCCTCCACACCCCATCTTACGAAATGAAAGAATTTATAAATAACGAAAATCTCTTTGTTTTTCTATTGCTAACCTTGCTTGGCATTCCTTCATAATCATCTTGTTATATGGAATATACAAGTTATGGAAAGAAAATCACCATGGATCAAAAGCAATATTATTTTGGTAATACTATCATATTTTTGACAACTAAACATGTGTAAGCTATCTTAATTACTCAATTTACAATAAAAAGTCTCTCTCTCTCTCTCTCTCTCTCTCTCTTTCTCTCTCTCTCTCTCTCTCTATATATATATATATGTATATATATATTCTTGGATTAGCATATCTGGTTTGAAACTTATCGTTAATTTTTTTTGCAGCGTCATTTTATTTCCCATCGCCATCACATTTTACATAACTTGGTGGTTTATTCATTTTGTGGACGGATTCTTCTCCCCCATCTATGCCCTTCTGGGGATTAATATTTTTGGTTAGTGCATTGACTTCCTAACGTTGATCACTTCATGCATTCACGGACGAATAAAAATCTCATGTCCCCAAACACCATGACCTCTCCCAGTCCACCAATCATGTGCTGACACATCAACACTTTATTAAAGAGAGAGAATAAAGTGAAATTTAATAAAATGTTGATGTGTCTTCAAATGATTGGTGGGACAGGAAGGGACATAAGTTTGGGGACAACAATTTTTTATTCTTCATGGGCAACAACATGATTACACTATCATTCATATGAGAATTCATTTTCAGCAAGTGGTATAAATAGATCCCCTTTCATCATCTCACTGATCATTGTTACAAGTGTGTCTTACATGTTCATGTTTTCTGTTTATATAAAGCTCTCTTGTTATAAGTTCTCCCCCAATCCCAGAATAAGTGTCCATATTTATATTTTAGTTTATCCCAAAATAAGTATCTTACTTCAAAAGTAAATGTCTATTTTCCCATTCTACCCTTAATAATGAGATGGAGAAATTTTCTCCCTCTATTATTAAAGGTAAATTTGCCCTTTAGTTAATTTACACATTTCTAAAACAATGTGTTTTTTTCATTGTGGACATTTATTTTGAACGGAGGGAGTATTTATTTCCTCTTAGAATGCTAGTAAATTCGAAAAACCAAACCAACAGACCCAATAAATTCTTACTTGAAACTGTCCTTTTTTGGTACCATTTGCCCCCTCCCCAAAAAAATGTTGACTTCTGCCCCCTCTTCTAAGCGCATACTCTTAAATTGCACCTTATGGAATTATATTTTTTTTCTGAGACTGTAGCTTGTTCTCAGGTCTCGGATTCGTGACTTCAATTACTTTCATCTTTTTGGTTGGTGTGTTCATGTCCTCATGGCTGGGAACCAATCTTCTCAGTTTGGGAGAGCTTATAATAAAGAAGATGCCTCTTATGAGCTATATTTACACTGCCTCTAAACAAATCAGCATCGCTATATCTCCAGGTATTTTTCTTCGGATCCTAGGAAAACCTCATTCGAATTTTGAGTAAACTGCCGGAGAGATTAAACCGTATTCTTTTAGTTTTATGCCTAACCGAACCAAACGATCCCCAATATATCCCACCGAGAGGTGGTAGGGTCGGGGAGGGTATGGTTTAGTCAGACCTGACTTATACCCCAAGGAGTAGAGCAGTTGTTTCTATAAACTTTTAGTTTTATTCCTAACCGGACCTAACGAGCTCAGTATATCCCATTATAAGGTAGGGTCTGAGAGGGTATGATTTGCGGAGACTTGACTCCTATCCCAAAGAGTGGAGTTGTTGTCTCCGTGAAGTTTTAGTTTTATCCCTAACCAAACCGAATCAAACAAGCGCAGTATATCCCACCTGGGTCTTGAGTTGGGGCTGGGAGGGTATGATTTATGCAGACTTTCTAATTTATTATCCCAAAAGAGTGGGAGCCGATGAACCACAAGGGTTGTGGCGTAGTAGTTGAGGTCCTGGGGGATATGATGGAATATCCCATTTACCCATGGTTTGTGTTCGATTCCACGCGTGCACTGTGGCCATTGAGTTTGTCATGGCTGATTTTTTTTCTTGCTGTCATAGTTTGCCAGGATTAGTCCAGGCTATGGGACACCCTTCCATAGAAAAGAGTGGAGCGGATGTTTGTGAAATTTTAGTTTTATTCCAAACCAAACCGAGCTTAGTATATCCCACACGGATAGGAGGGTTTGATTTATGCATACATGACTTTTACCCCAAAGAGTGAAGCGGTTGTTTCTTTGAAGTTTTTGGTTTTATTTCTAGATTGCTTGATATTTCTCCAGGTCAAGGTTCAAATGCATTCAAGGAAGTTGCCATCATAAAGCATCCGAGTGTTGGAGAATACGCTATCGGATTCATAACATCGACTCTCATCCTTCGTAAGAATGCAGGTGCGGAGGAACTTTGTTGCGTGTACGTGCCAACTAACCACCTTTATCTCGGAGACATAGTCCTTGTCAATTCGAAAGATGTTATGAGGCCTAATATCTCTGTTCGAGAAGGTATAGGTAAGAGACTCAAAACTCGAACCATATCATATTTTTCGTTCTATAATGTTGATGTTGAAGTGGCACGTCAACTAGAAATGGTCCATCAAACCTCTATAACCATTCAACTGTACGGTGCGCACATGTACATACAAGTAACTTGTCAGGTATGCACGTGTGTGCATAGAAACCAAGAAACATCTTCAATTACTTGTATGCATATATGCATAGCGTACAGATGAATGTTATCAATGTGTTCCTCAGTTTTTTGTTTTTTATTTTATTCCCCCTCTCTCTATATATGTGTGTGTGTCCTGCAAGTTTTACTTATCCTTACATGGTATTAGGTCGGTATAGCATCATTGGGACTTGACATGAACCATCAAACCTATATATACATATATATGTACAAATATGGGTGGTTTGCATTTGATAGCTCCTCTCTCTCTCTCTCTCTCTCTCTCTCT